GCCACGCCTGGTTCCTAACCCACAGAGTATGGGAGCATTATAAATTATTTTAACTCACCGAGTTTAGAGGTTGCTTGTTATGCTCGAAAACTGGAACTTGAACCCACAATGCTCTTCATCTCTCTTAATAAGCATCAGCCACACTAGACATCTCAAACACACTAACTCCTAGCCTCAGAGACTTTTTACCTGCCATTCGTTCTGCCTGTAATATTTTTTCCTCCAGTCTTTGCTTAGCTGGCTCCTTTCATCCTTCCCACCTCAGATCAAATATTACTTCCTCAGAGGCCTTCCCTGACCACGCTCTCTAAATGGGCCTCCCTCTCTATGTCTCAATTTTTCATTCTATTCATTTTCCTCAAAACATTTATCTCAATCTGAAACTATCTTGCTGCGTCTTTGGCGATTGGCCTCCCCCAATTAAAATACTGGCTTGATATAAAGATGGGTCTTTAATCCAGCTCATTTATAGCTTGCACAGTGATTAGCATAGAGCATGTGTTTAATAAATATTTGTTGAATAAAAAGTAATGGACGCTTATGTCATATGACTTCAGGATTCTGTCCATAGGCCTCAACTTACTAACTCTGTTTTCACAGAATTTAATAAAAGGAAGATTAAAACTCCCATGTGATACTAAGGATGTTTTTCTCTTTCTTCTGCTTTTTTCCTCCTCTAATGAGATGAGCAAATACTAGAGAACAAAAATCCTAGAATCCTTTTATAATACCTCAGGGACAAAACCACTACATTTTGATACTCAATTATCTATGTGGTTTATTAATATATTTTCCTAACTCTCCAGGATTAATGACAAGACCATTGTAAACTGAGAAAGGGAATAAACGGTCTCTCTTATCTCCTGGAGACTAACTCTACCGTTAGCCTGTGTGTGATCCCGTCTCAGCTCTTGATTTCTTTTTCCTCCGCCCCCCAAGCACAGGGCTTTTGGAGAGCTTGAAGAAAGGGAAGGAAAAGAAGCAGGCCCATCCACCACCCGTTTTCTTTCTCCCCTCCATTTTCCAGTTGTTTCATACACTTGAAGTACAAAAACAATATGCATTTTTTTCGCATCACCTAAACTCAAGCAGTGATGCACGGGTCCGTCCTACCGGCAGCTGCCCTCCAAGACCAGCAGACATCCACGCCTGCCCTACATACTAATTTCCTTGTACGTATTCTGATTCTCCCTTATATCAACCACATCTTATTACTTTCTGCTTTCTGATGCTTCGACATTAGGAGACTTGCTGACCCTGCAGAGGCTGCCCCTCCCAGGTTAGCCAATTCCTAGAGATAGCAAACAACTCACCTACAAGCACACTTCTCAAATACCAACCAAACCAGAGCCCACACCCAACCACCAACTTTACTGGCTCTGATACTGAGGCCACATCACGTACCAAACCACCCAGAGCCCACAGAAATTATTCAAGTGAGCCAGTCTAAGCCTGCTTACCCTGCCTCGCCCGTTCTTCCCCACAGAAGCCACAGTAAAGGCTCCTGCCCACAGCTCCCCTCTCTCCTTCTGACCAATTCTGGTGCTTCTCCATTTGCCCCCACCCACGGTGTGGTGAGCCCCCTCCTCCTGGGACAACCTAACTTTTCAATGACAATCATCTCCTCATTTGTGGACCACACTATACCTCATATTTTGCATCAATACACTGTATTTTAAAACATCCCTCTGGGGCCGGCCGAGTGGCGCGATGGTTAAGAACTGGCTTGGGACACCAGAGGGCCCCAGTTCGGATCCCACATATGAGGGCCAGTGACACTGCCCTCCACAGCTAAGATGCTGAACAACAGCTCGATCTGGAGCTGGGCTGCCGTGAGTCGCCGGGGACGGCGTAGGCTGCAGCCCCTGTGGCAGTGGGTTGCCATGGGCTACCGTGTTTAGCCAGCAGCCAGCGTGAGCGGCCAGCAGCCGCCGTGAGCGGCCATCCAGAAGCCGGCGACTGATGTGCCTCGCCCAGGAAGAGTACAATGATGGTGCCAACTTGGGCCAGTGAAGCAACGTCCTCCACAACTAGACTGAAGAACAAAACGACAGCAACTTTTCTGTTCCCCTTCCCCTAAATCTCCAATAAAAAATAAATAAATAAGTAAATAAACAAACAAACAAAAAACATCCCTCTGGATTGTAAGTAAGGTCAGTGTCTTAATCACTGGGGGCAACTCAGGTTCTGTGCTCTCAGTGCTCAGTATTTTAAGTTTTATTTTAGCACGATTTTAAAATTCTTGATTTAAATCACTGATTCACTCAAGAAACATGTATTGATGCCTTGTGTGTACTAGGGATTGTGGAAAGCTCTAGGGACAGGAGGGTGAATTAAACATGTTTCAGGCAGGCTCCTGTTAGGATAAAGACTTGAGAAATAGTTAAGAATAAATGAGTGACTGTCTCCCCAGAATTCACAAGCTGGAGCGCATTATTCACTGGATCACCCGCTGTGTTCCCTTCATGAAATCACTGTTAACACTGGAGGGGTTGAAAATAAACTGATTTGTCTTGTTCTATCCCATTCTTTACACAAGCTATTGCGACTGGGAATCTAGAAAATGATTCAATTTTTCCAAGTTTTTACCAGATTTAATTAAGTCTTATTTGGAACATCTCAAAAATACACAGCCTAGCTATCCCTCAGAGCAGCCTAAGCACCTGTTTTGAGGTTGAACAGGACATAATATAATATTATGAATAATAGTTAACACTTATTGAGGTCTTAATATATGCTAGGCATTTTACCAAGCATGGTGTATGCTTTATTTTATCTAACAACATGACATAAGTATTATCATCCTTATTTTATAGATTTAAAAAAAACGAAGCTTAAATAGGGTGAATAATTTGCTAAATACAGCACAGCTAATAAAAAATGTCAGGATTTGAATCCAATCCGTGTTACTCCAGAGTATACTTGTTTATCAACTAATTCTGGATGAGAGCTAAGAAACTGTCATTTTCTGAAGGTGCATTGCTTAGGCCCGTTCTTACAGTCCACTAAAGACTTTGGGCCAATTTTCACCCCAGGAGCTATCCTACCCATTCAAAATTCTGCTTCTAAATCTATGATATTGGAGCATACCAGAGTCTTTCTTCTAATAGTTTATTAGAATTTGTTTTTAAGCTTGCTCTGCCTGGCCACCATCCACAGGAGGTCTAGTTGGTCATAGAATAAGATGATTAAAAAAAACAAAAACAAAAAAAACCCTCCAGAACAGTTACTTTCCAAAAACTCTCCATAGAAGAGTAGCAAGCTTTAATAACTGCAATCGTATATAGAATGCATTTTAGGACTCAAGTTGTTAAGAGAATGAGTTCTCTGCTTCCTTGTTAGTGAATCTTTCCGGAGGAATTTAGTTAAAATCTGGTGACAATGCCTGCCTGCCTTAGCTTTAATTATTCTATTTTCATTAGTCTGGTTTAATACATACCATAGTGGTCATCTCTAGACTCGACTTACTGCATTGAGGGAAAGCTTATTGCTGTATGTAAGGTAAGTATATCTTCATAGACCAGGTATTGGGGAACACATTGGGGAGTCTACAACTTCAGTCAACTTGAACCTCCGATATTTCTTAATGCACATTTATGGGAAAAATTCATTGGACACCAATGTGTAAATCTCAAATCTGCTCTTTTGCTTCTCTCTGTGTATGGCTACATATGAAACAAAATTACCATAATAGACAAAATGAACTCTTTTTCTGGCACATTGAGTTTCAGAATTCCCAGGGAAAAGACTGAAAGCTACTTCTTTATCCCTCTTGCATCCAAAAGAGAAATAGATAAGTTGCTGAGTAAGACTTTTGATCCCTTGCCAAGCCTGAAGCTTCTTAAGACACTAGTCCAATGGTATTTGATACTTCTTTTTTAAAGACTCAAATCTCCCCATCCAGTCTGGGGTAAAGGGAGAAGACACATCTCAAGGCTTTCTTTCATTCTACAATAAGCACCGAGTGCCTAGTACATGCCTGAGTCTGCTCTAAGGCCTTGGAGATAAAGCAGTGAATTTGTATTCTATTTATCACTGAGGAGCAATAGGCAGTACTGTTATCTGTAATTCCCATTAGAACCAAACCACAACGCAGAGCTCTTTAAACTCCACTCAGAGTCAGAAGTTAGGGTGGGAAGAGACCCCAGGAATCTTTGCAGCTTCGCGGCTGCCTAGGGCTCTGTTGCTTCCACTTAACTAGAAAGGGGTCTTTCACAAGAGCTGCGGGGAGGAGGTGTGAGCCTCTCATATTTATATGCAGAGTTGGCGTGCAAGTATGCGCACTTTCAAGGGCCAGGTATTACAGACTTCCTCGCATTCTCAAAACAGGTCCGAGATCCCACAAAGATTAGAAGCATTCCCTTAACATACCCGCCGCCGGAAGACCCCAGGGGATTGCATTTGCAAGTCTTCGGTAAAGGTCACATTTTGAAACAAAAAGTAATGCCTAGTAGACGCTACATTGGCCGCGACAGGCGCTCAGTACTGCCTACACTTCTAACTTTGCCCCCCGGAAACTCCAGGTGCTGCTGTAAGGCAGCCCACTGCCTTGGAGAGGGGACAAACAACGCGCAGACCTGGAAGTAAAAGGACATCGGTCCCTGTCCTGCTCTGCTGCTGAGGACGTTTTCCCGCAAGAACAACTCGCTTCTCGCTTCTCCGGACCTAACTTCAGACATGGTTAAGTTACGGCCAAAACTTAGGGCCTTCCTGCCCTCGGCTTCCAAGTTCGCCAAGAACAACCAAGACCCAAGGGGAGCAATTTGGGCCTTTTCGGGAGGGGAGGTGGCCCCGCAGTTCCCCGAGTGAGCTGTCGGGGTGCACACCTGCATGGAGCACCGGAGAGTGCGCGCCAGTCCCCCTGTACCCGCGCCCGAGCTCACACACTGCCCTCCTCTCACGTCCCTTCCACACCAATGTACCCTCCGCGCGCGCACACTGGCCGCAGTCTCGGAGCGGGACTCGCGACTAGCGCGCGTGGGTTGCTACTAGTACTTCACCGTCAGTCACTGTCGCGTCCGCCTCCTCCCCTGCCGGGTGCACCTCCAGCCACAGAGGTTTCAGGTTGGGGGGCGAGAGCGGCCCAGCAGCGAAGAGCTGCTCCTCCGTCACGAAGCGCAGCTGCACGCGGTAGTACAGGCGCGCGGGGACACGGGCCGCAGCGGGGGCCGTGGCCATGGTGCGAGCGCCTCCGCCCGAACCCTGGCGGCGCCTCCTCCGCGCCCTGGGCGCCGGGAGAAACTGCCGGGGGAAGGGGAGGAACTTGGCAGCGCTAGCCACCTTCCTCACCTCCGCTGCAAGTTCAATCTTCGCTCTTGGAGACGCCTGCTGACTTCTCGGACACCTGCTGACCTCCCCCTACTGCCTCGGGGCATGCGGACCTCCCCCCCTCCCCCCTACACACACACCTCACGGGAGCGCGCAACGGACGCGCACGTGGGCGCAACCGCCTCGCGGGAGCTGCATCTGAGAACACTCAAGTTTAGAGAGCCCGAGACGCACCTGGAGACAGTTGAGGTTTGGAAGCAGAAGGGTGACACCTGCTGTTCGCCCGGACCGCTCTGCGGCGATGAACATCGATTTGGAACCGGCCTTGGCTCTGGCTCGCTGCTTAGTGGGAACTCGTGGCGGCTCGGGGGCTACTGGTGCCTACTGGGAAGCAACCATTCCAAGTACCGAGTTCTTTCCTTATTGAAAGAATCCCGCCAGCAGCAGCGAGGCGGTGTGGAGGCCTTGTGCAATTGTCTGGGCCCGAAGGGCCACTTTAGCCTCCCTCCCGTCACTTAACTAGGAATTGAACCATTTCCCCAGAAGTGGGTCGGGAGGGCCAGGGACTCTGTCCCCAAGTTAACGCCTGACTCCAGCAGCTGCCTACCCTAGCCAGTTGGTTCCAGCGTCAGAGCATGAAGGCTGCAGACCCTGGGGAACCAAATCACATGTTGTTAGCCTCCTGAGCAGAGAAATTCTGCTGTAAGGGGTTAAGAAACGGAAACAGTCCTTCTTTTGACCAGAGTCCCCTACAGTCATAGACCCATGTGCCATAAAGGGAATTTTTCTTCAACTCCTGTGTGTCCTCCATCTGTGACTTGACAGAATGGATTGCAAAGAGGAAACAAGGATTCCATGAAGATAATGTCCTTAACTAAGCAGACGGAGTTTACAAGAATGAGCTTCCATAGAGGCCCTGGGGTCTGTAACTTCAGAGTTTCCAACTGGGACTGCTAACCCCAGTCAGGCTTTATGAAATCTCATGTATCTCCGCCCTCCCAGCCCACCTCCCAAGTGTCCTAGTTCCGGTTGTGGCCTCTCTGGCTCCTCCCCTTATTCCCTTCCAAAGCTTTCTCATCCCTCCTTCTCTGTCTCTATTATTTAACTAACCTGCTTTTCCTTCTTATCTCATTCTCACTTACTTCTGTCTCTTGGCTTTGATTTGTGCCCTGGAAGCCCCTGGAATGCAGATATCCTTTAAAGAGTTGGAGTTGTGGAAAGGGTTCCGCTGTAAGGACCACAGAACACCTACATCCTGCGTAGCCCCACCCCTCATTCTGTATCATTCTGCCTCTCCTGCTGGCCTCCTCAAAGCGTTTTCCAGCCATCCTATTTCCTTCTCAAGCCCTGCCTTGATGGCACTAAGTACTTTTAGGCTACCAAAGATCCTCCAAAGCAGCGGTTCTCAACCTGTAGGTCGCGACCCCGTTGGGGGTCGAACGACCCTTTCACAGGGGTCGCTGGGTACTCATATGTGGGCGTATCTGCATGTGGGCCTGGAGACAGATAGAGGAGTGGTGTCTCCGTTCCTAAGACCATCTAAAATATGTGTTTTCCAATGGTCTTAGGCAACCCCTGTGAAAGGTTGAGAACTGCTGCTCCAAAGTACCTCTTAGAGTTCTTTATTCTCCTGGGATAAGTTAGGCATTAGTGAAGAACAGATCCGGCTGTAATAGAAACATCGTGAGGAAGTAATATTCGGAGAAAAACAAACTTCTAAGGAAAATAGACGCTGGGAAGGAAGGAACTTTGAAACTATGTAGAAAGCAATTTCCTAATGGATAAAGGTTTAAAGTTGGAAAAACAACTTCGGAAAAACAGCTCAATGATGTACCTGCCCAGTATAAAAAGGACAGACTGTAAAAATAAAGTGAGACATTAATTCTTGAAAGCGCTCCTGTGTCGACGCGCGTTGTTTCCTCTCCGACTCTGCCTCCACCTGAGGGAACCCCTGGACCCGCGGGAGCCGGTCTCCCGCATTTGTTCTGCCGGCTTCAGCCTGTGCCAGGGGGACGCTGTGTTTTACCAGCTATTTGCAGAGACTGAATGGAGGTTAGAGAATCAAACTAAGGAAACCAAGCCAGGCTCCAGATTCTTCCTCTTGTGTATCCTCTAGGAAGAATAAGTCCTCTCGGAAGTGAAGGAACGACCTTGCCACATGATTTCTCTGACAGACCTCCACCATTTCCACCGCCTGATGGACATTGTTGTCAGCATAGCATCAAAAATAGGCTTTTTTTCATGCATAGTATTTGTGTCCAAAGCCCTGAGAGGTTCTTTCTCCCTGTTCTTTCTCCAATTAAAACATGAAAGAAAAGAAAAAAAAAACAACCTCTGGCCAGTGTCATTTGAGGTTCTGTGGGAAGAAGCTCAGCTCAGCGTCAGCATCTGAAGGAACATCATGAGACCAGTGCTGAGCTGAGCAGGAGAAAGGAGGGCCAGGATTAGGTGCATATCTGAGTGGTCATATGCACCTTTGTCTATCTCTTGCTTTCCACAGAGAGCAGCCCAGCCTGTTGATGGATTGCAAATTCAATAGCATGAGGTCTAGTCTAGGCTCTTTAATATCTAGGGAGCTCTTTCTTGTGTTTGGCAGCAGATCCCACCTCCTGGTCCAGACATTGCTTCAAAGAGACTCAAACCTTCTGTTTCCTTCCCCTGATTTCAAAGTATATTATCCTCAGCATTATGGTGGCCACACTACTTATTATGGTGTTCCACAAAAAAAAAGATCTGTGCCTCAGCCACATGACAAATTTCCACACATCATGAAGCTTTGGATGTCATAAGGAATCAAAATATAATAATTTGCATGTGATCTAGCCCACTAAATCATTGGAGTCAAGACTCATTATGTGTAGATTCCACATTTGTGAAATCACCTACTCACTAAAATATATTTCTAACCCTCAACTCAATATAAGCAATGCTTTTGCAATCATTTGCAGACACATGCAGGGCGGTAAAAAGTTTGAGTTGCTCGGTGCACATATTCCCAGCTGAAGGTGAGCAAGAGATGCTCTGTCTTCTTGTTTCAGCTTTTACACTTACAGGTCATTACTAGCAAGAATTGAAAAGGGAGCCCCTTAGGATTGGGAAAACAAGGAAGGAGCAAGCCATGCTGAGAAGTATACCGAGAAGCTTGGAAGGAGGCAGATTTGGGGTGCAATGCCAGCCCGGCTCCTTATTACCTAGGTAACCCAGATAAATTACTCAGATGCTTTGAATTTATGGAAGTTTTTACAGTAAACCCACATGATCCTATAAGCTTACTGTGAAAATTAAATGACAATGTATAGTAAGCACTAATTATATAGTGGCTATCATTAGTATTATTACTCATTGAAGAAAATATGGACAAGTAAAAAGACAAAAGCTTAAATCAACCATATTCCCTCACCTGAAAGCAAGCATTGGAATTATCTTAGAAGAGTTATTGCTAACATTTTTCTTCTATTAGCCCGCTAATCTTGTCATCAAGTCAGCTTTTCTTTATTGAAAGAGAAAAAAATAGTGTGAATACTCACAGGTATGAGAGATGTACACAGAATTGATTCCATTTTCCCCTGATAAGAGAAAAAAACGTATCACAGAGACATGTGAGTTTCAGGTTTTACTTATTTTTGGTTCCGTTGTTCTGTCATTTACTTATGGCTTGTGATTTATATTGCACTCATGCCCACAGGCACACTGGCACATTTTAAAAACTACCAAATAAATAAACAGCAGCTCTATTTCCAAATCCGTTTGTGGGAAGGTGAAAGCAAACATAAAAGATTGATTAGGGAAAACAAGCTGGAAAACTGAAAGAAGGGTTGGAAGGTGGGCGGGGCATTTTGAAAAACTAACGTGATTATTATTAACCTGCAAAGTCATGGTTAAATCCACAGTCGTATCCCCCTGCAATAGTCAGTTACAAAGAAATGACTTTGCTGATCATTTGCCTAGACATCTCCCCAGAGAAATGATGTGTTTATACAAGATCTATGAACGAGTTTTCACGTGGTTGTTGATCTCCAAGCAGGAATTACCAGACTGACATAGCAAGCTTACTGACCCACCTCTTATTCTCTTAGCAATTCACCATAAACCAGAATACACTTGATTACCAGACTTATTAGAGAATACAGTAGAAAGAATAAAATGGATAATACAAAAAAAAAGCATCAGCAAGTAATTTCCTAATGTACTCATACCCTTTCCAACTTCATACATAAAAGAAAGTTGCTTTGCCAGTTCATCTTAATGCTTCTTCACAATCCTAACATTCTATCTATGCAGAGCAATAGCTGATATTTATTAATTGGTCTACATGCATACTCATTTGTAAGTATCATATGGTCACAGATTTACATTTTGGTTAGTCCACATTTTAAAGGGCAATACAAGCCAAACTTTATCATGCATAAGAATCATCTGGAGGGCCGGCTGAGTGGTGCGTTGGTTAAGAGTTGGCTTGGGATGCCAGCTCTGAGCAGCAGGGCCCTGGTTCAGATCCCACATGAGGGCCAGTGACGCTGTGCCCTCTACAGCTAAGATGGTGAACAGCAGCTCGACCTGGAGCTGGGCTGCCATGAGTCGCCAGCGATGGCATAGGCTGCAATGGAGCTGCAATGGGCTCCCATAAGCTACCGTGAGTGGCCGGCAGCCAGCATGAGCTGCCAAGAGCCACCGTGAGCATCCTCCCAGTGGCCGGCGACCAACCTGCCTCACTCGGGAAGAGCGCAACGATAATACTAACATGGGCCAGTGAAGCGACATCCTCCACAACTGGGCTGAAGAACAAAAAGGACAACATGTCTGTTCCCCTTTCCCAATTCCCCAATGAAATCTTTAAAAAAAAAAAGAAAAAAGAATTATCTGGAGAAATGGTTAAAATGCAGATTGTGGAGCCCTGCCTCTGGTGATTCTGATTTAGCAGGACTGGTTCATGCCCAAGAACTTTAATTTATAATTCTAGTTCTCATAAGATCTCAGGTGATACCAATGCTGCCGGTCTGCC